AATGTGAATGGGATGAACTCTCCCATAAAATGGAATCAGATTGCAGAATGGATTAAAAACCATAATCCTACAATATGTTGTTTACAGGAAACACATTTGAAAAAGAGTGACACATACAGGGTAAAGGTAAAAGGCTGGAGCAGAATATATTATGCTTCAGCTGAAGTAAAAAAAACAGGGTAGCAATCCTGATCTCAGACAAAGCAAAAGCAAAAATAGATCTTATCAAAAGAGATAAGGAAGGAAACTACATCCTGCTAAAAGGCACCATAGACAATGAAGTAATATCATTACTAAACATATATGCACCAAATGGTATAGCATCCAAATTCTTAGAGGAGAAGTTCAGGGAGTTACAGGAAGAAATAGACAGCAAAACTATACTAGTGGGGGACCTCAACCTCCCTCTCTGAACTAGATAAATCTAACACAAAATAAACAAGAAAGAAGTTAAGGAGGTGAATAGAACATTAGAAAAGTTAGGTATGATAGACCTCTGGAGAAAACTGAATGGGGATAGAAAGGAATATACTTTTTTCTCGGCAGTACATGGCACATACACAAAAATTGACCATGTACTAGGGCATAAAAACCTCACAATCCAGTGCAGAAAGGTGGAAATATTAAATACATCCTTTTCAGATCATGATGCAATAAAAATTATATGTAATAAAGGGCCATGGAAAGATAGACTAAAAAATAATTGGTAACTAAAAATCTAATCCTAAAAAATGATTGGGTCTTTTGACCCAATCAATAATTTCATTCAAGAGAATGACAATAATGAGACAACATACTAAAAGTTATGGGATGCGCAAAAGCAGTTCTTAGGGGAAGTTTTATATCTCTAAATGCTTACATAAATAAAATAGAAAAAGAGGAGATCAATGAATTGGGCACAACTAAAAAAACTAGAAAAAGAACAAATTAAAAATCCTCAATTAAACACCAAATTAGAAATATTGAAAACCAAAGGAAAAATTAATAAAATTGAAATTAAGAAAACTATTGAACTAATAAATAAAACTAAGAGCTGGTTTTATGAAAAAACCAATAAAATAGATAAACCTTTGGTTAATTTAATTTAAAAAAAGAAGAAAACCAAATTACTATTATCAAAAATAAAGCTACCACCAAGGAAGAGGAAATTAAAATAATAATTAGGAATTATTTTGCCCAACTATATGCCAACAAATTTGAATATCTTAGTGAAATGGATACATATTTACAAAAATATAAATTGCCCAGATTAACAGAAGAGGAAGTAAAATACCTAAATAACTCCATCTCAGAAAAAGAAATTGCACAAGTGATTGATGAGCTCCCTAGGAAAAAAACTCCAGAGCCAGATGGATTTACATGTGAATTCTATCAATCATTTAAAGAACAATTAATTCCAATACTATACAGACTATTTGGGAAAATAGGTGAAGAAGGAGTCTTACCAAATTCTTTTTATGATACAAATATGGTGCTGATACCTAAACCAGAAGAGTCAAAACAGAGAAAGAAAATTATAGACCAATTTTCCTAATGAATATAGATGCAAAATTTTAAAAAAATGTTAGCAAAGAGATTATAAGCAACTTACCAAGAATAATACACTCTGACCAGGTAGGATTTATACCAGGAATGCAGGGCTAGTTCAATATTAGGAAAACTATCAGCATAATTGAGCATATCAACACCAAAACCAACAGAAACCACATGATCATCTCAACAGATGCAGAAAAAGCTTTTGACAAAATACAACACCCATTCCTATTAAAAACACTAGAAAGCATAGGTATAAATGGAATCTTCCTTAAAATAATAAATAGAATCTATCTAAAACCTTCAGCAAGCATAATATGTAATGGGGACAAGCTAAAAGCATTTCCAATAAGATAGTGGGTGAAACAAGGATGTCCATTATCACCACTGTTATTCAATATTGTACTGGATAACGTTAGCTTTAGCATTAAGAGAAGAAAAAGAAATTGAAGGTATTAGAATAGGCAAAGAAGAAACGAAGCTATCACTCTGCAGATGACATACTTAGATGATGATGTACTTAGAGAATATGGAAAATGCTATCCAAATCCAAAGAAAGAACTATGGAAGTTGAATTGCTATTTTTTTTTCTCTTCTGTTGAGTTTTGTTTCCTCTTTCTGATGGTTCCTCCTATTGGTTTTAATTTTTACTTACAATATCACTAATGTGAAAATATATTTAATAAGAATGTAAATGTATAGCCTATATCAGATTGTGTGCCATCTTGGGCAGGGTGGTGGGAAGGAAGGGGGAGAAAAATTTTAAACTCAAAAGCATATGGAAGTGATTATTGATAAATCAAAATAATTAATAAAATTTTAAAAAAATAAATTTGTTGGTTTTCTAGTATTTTAGTTGCATTCCCAACTCATTTCTCTATTCATCCTCCCTCCCTCTCTCTCTCTCTCTCTCTCTCTCTCTCTCTCTCTCTCTCCCCCCCCCCATTCATTAGTAAAACTGTTCTGAGATGTAAGTTTTCCCCTCAGGATTGCTTTGACTGCACCTCAAAAATTCTGCTATGTTGTCTTATTATTGTCATTATACTTAATGAAATTATTTATTATTTCTATAATTTGTTCTTTGATATTTCTCTAGCCTAAAAGCCTTTCCAGACTTTTCTCTGTAGGAAAATGGGAAGAATTCCTTTGAAATGGAGTAAAAGTGATAATAAAACTTAACTCTTATCTAGATGGTATGATTGTCTTCTCCCATTCCCCCCATGATTCACACCATGAACCACCTGAGGCAGTGTCTTCTCTTTTGAAATTTAAGTTTAATATACTGATCACCGGAAGAAACACTTATTGGGAAGTAGTACCAGAAGGAATTCGGTAGTGATACTCTGGACTGTTAACCCCAAATTGTACTTTAACATATGATGATCTTTTTCTCGTCCAAGTTTATTATAAATATTACCTGAAATCTTCTTGGGGGCAGAGAGTCTTGTTGGAAGGCACAGGGGACTGTGCTATTTTTGAACATCTTTCCAAGCTAGAAATGACTTGGAGATAAGTTAATATTAAATTCAATAAAATTGTTTCTTATGGACTTGAGCCTAAAACACAGTGTATGTACATTATTGATATTTTTTCTTTGACACCTCTTTGTATATCCAGGATCTATTATAGTGCCTTCCATGCAGTAGACATTTAATACCCCATTTCCTGTATTTCTTATTTCCCAGTAGCATGTGAAAACATTTTTTAAACATGTTTTTAAAACTTTTCTCCTGCTTTTCTGAAGTCAGACACTCCTTCCACTGCTCTAGTTATGTTCTTTCTCCTTCTCTATTTAAGCCTTCTCTGTTTCATGTAAGTCAAATGCTTCTTCCTTTATGAAGTTCTCTCTAATTCCTCCATTTAAGGACGAACTTTCCTCCTCTGAACCCTCTTAGCACTTAAATTATACCTCTTATCACATCTTATAGCACTTATCACATGCTACCTTTCACCTAGTTATTTGTGTGTTTATTTTATTCACCTTCCAGTTGTAAGCTCCCTGAATTCAAAAACTGTTCTTCCTTCATCTTTTCATCCTTGAAATTTATCATGTAGAAGCTCGGTAAAATGTCTTCTGAATGTTTGTTTTTGTTAAATATTCAAATTTATCACCACAACATATCCTTGTTTCATTTCCACATATTCCCCATTTATACATTTTTTCCATTGATAGAATTTGTATGGAGATGGATTCCAAATGAATTCTATCATGTTCTGCATTGGTTGACTATTTCTTGGAAGTTTTCCTGGGAATCTCATACTGGCTAAGGAATAGAGTGGTAGATCAGTGGAACAGATTAGGTATACAATATGAGTAGTAGTAAAACACCGTAATAATCTAGTGTTTTGTAAACCCAAAGATCCAAGTTTAGGGGGCAAGAATTTACTATTTGACAAAAATTTTCAGGGAAAAACAGTCTGGCAATAACTAGGACAGGGGTGGGGAACCTGCAGCCTCAAGGCCACACATGGCAGGTCCCTGCGTGTGGCCTTTTGACTGAGTCCAAGTTTTACAGAACAAATCCCTCCTATGTATAACAAATCACATTTGTTCTGTTTCCCACCCCTGAGAGAGACCAACATCACACACCATATACCAAGATAAGGGCAAAATAGGTAGATGATTTAGACATAAAGGATAATAAGCATAAGCAAATTACAGGAGAATGGAAAATTTTGCCTGTCAGATCTATGGATATAGGAAGAATTTATGACCAAACAAGAGGCAGAGAGGATCATCTAGTGATTAGAGAAATGTAAATGAAAATAACGCTGAAGTACCACCTCATACCTATCAGGTAATATGATTGGAAAGGAAGATAATAAATACTAGAGGGGATGTGGAAAAATTGTGATACTAATACACTGTTGGTGGAGTTGTAAAGTAGCCCAACCATTCTGGAGAACAATTTGGAACTATGCCCAAAGGGCTATAAAACCATGCATTCCCATTGGCCTAGCAATACTACTTTTAGGTCTGTATCCCAAAGAGATCAAAGAAAAACGAGGACTTATATGTACAAAAATATTTGTAGCAGTTCTTTTTGTTCAGTAGCAGTTCAATTTGCAAATTGAGGGGATGCCCATCAACTGGGGAATGACTAAACAATTTGTGGCATGTTATTGTGATAGAACACTATTATGCTATACGAAATGACAAGCAGGGTAGCCAACTGACAAGTCATTTTCAGAAGCAATAGTAAAATTGATTCGATTACTCCTCCCAGAGCAAGAAGTGGGAGGGATTTTGAGGAGAGGTCTTGTACAGTAGTAGTAGTAGTAGTAGTAGTAGTAGTAGTAGTAGTAGTAGTAGTAGTAGTAGTAGCAGCAGTTGTTCATCCTTCACTTTCAAAGAGGACCAATGACATCACGATGTTGGGGTAAAATAGTGGATGATGGGTGATGTCTTGACTTGTGCACGAATTGGATTTAAGAGAGGCAGAGTTGTGCAAAGTCATCAGCCTCACTCTCTGGATCAGAGCCATTGAAGTCCAGTGGCTGGACAAAAGTCCTGGGATGCAGTGGATGACCTTAGCGTCTTGTGCAGGATGTGTGGGACAGTAGGTAGATGACAAAATGGCCGTGATGGAAGGCTGGATGGGATACAAAGCATGATTGATCTGAGGTGAGTTAGGTGTAATAGCCTACCATCACCGACCCTGGTTCAAATTCCAGCTCTACTACTCTGTTTATGGTCTGAAATCACTTCATCTCACTGGGCCTCAGTTTTGCCTCTCTATAAAATAAAGATACCAGACCAAATGTTCTCTAAATTCCCTTCTGGTTTTATACTATAATGTATTATCTGCAATGTCCTCTGTGGTAGGCATGTCCCCACTGCAAATTAACAAACTAATATTCTGATTTACCAATTAGTCTTATTAGTTTGAAGAACGTAGGAAAGTTATAAAATCATAGGACCATAGATTTAGAACTGGAAGTGACCTTAGAGGCAATCTAGTTTAATACCTTCATTTTACTGTTAAGGAAACTGAGGCCCATAGAGGTTAAGTGACTTACCCATAGTCACACAAGTAGTAAGCAACAGATGTAGGCTTGGAAACATGTCCTATGATTCCCTATCTTTTTCTCAGAGCTTAATAAACACAGAGTAAACTCATAATTTAGGTTTTTAAGCTGCAAAGTGAAGAGACCCTGATGTCCCCACCAAATGGAAGCCTCCTTCCTTATTTTTTAATTTTTTTTTTTTTGGCTTTTAGGCAATTGGGGTTAAGTGACTTGCCCAGGGTCACACAGCTAGTAAGTGTCAAGTGTTTGGTCTGAGGCCAGATTTGAACTCAGGTCCTCCTGACTTCAGGGCCGGTGCTCTATCCACTGTGCCACCTAGCTGCCCCCAAGCCTCCTTCCTTATTAAAGGCACTTCTGAGATGGTTCAGCTGGGGTCAGTGCACAGTATCTGTGTCTGACACTTTGGCTGCTTAGCCAGTCTGGCGCACAAGTAACAGAGACCCAGTTGAATACTCCTCTCTGGGGATTATATGGAGCTATCACCATCTCAGCTGGGTTAGACCTGCAGCACAATGCATTCTCCTGTCTGCAGCCATGCTGAGTCCAGTGTCATCCCCACATCACCTTTGAGGATATGGAGTTGGGATGTTTGTGGGTAAGGAAGTTATAAATTCCATAAACAGAAAGTGGAAAAGCATCGGTTGGGTAGTAACACAGAAGACAGAAATCAAAGAAAGAAAACAGGCCACAAGCTGGATACGAGTCAACAATGCAACGCAACTGCAAAAACACACAAGCTGCAATTCTGATTGCTCAATGGGAACATTGTTGGGGAGACAATCCTACCTCTCACCTTGTCTCCAGAGAGACTACAGCTAGAGCTCTGTGTTTGCAAACACCACACTCGCAGGAAAGAGTCACAAGAATGTGAAAGGGAAATCTGGAAGACATAAACGACAGTGAAAATTCAAGAGTCTGGATATAGAAAGGGGTTGTAGCAATCTGTAAATATAGGTCAAGTTGGATTTTTAGAAGATGGTGAAATCGAAGGAAAGTGAAAGGTCTCTGTCCCTGGTTCACTACGGATGCTAGGAGGGAGGCTAAGGAGCAATGCATTCAAATTCGAGCAAAGTTTTAAGGCTGAACAAATCTTGTTGATAAAGGTCAGGCACTACACTTTAATAAGTGCTTCATAGGCCTCTTTTATAATCACCAGAATAAACTATCTCTTTTTTTTCTTCCCAGTGTTCTATTTGTTGCCTGTAGACCGGCCAACATTAGCCCCTTGAGGGTTTAGATTCATTTTGGGGGAGAATGGGAGAATTTTCTGGTAAGTAAACAACAAGTGACTCAAGTCTGCTTCTATGTGAAACTGGGAACTTCTAAAGTGAGTTTGTATCTAAATAATTAGTCATTACCGTGTTTAAAAAAAAAAGGTAGGCAAACAACATATAATCAGCAAAAGCATTTAATTGGAACCGGAAAAAATTAGAAAAAAATCTAAAGATTTTCAACTAGTCCTCCAAATAAGTGAATTCCTGCCCTTTCCCAGCATCATCCAGAGAGAAAATTTTTCACCTCAATCCAGCAAAATGGGGAAAACAAGGCAAAGTTTTGGGTATCTGCCATTAATACCTCTGGGTCATCATTCCATCTTCTACCTGTAGATCTCCTTAGCCTTTACATAACACTGGCAGATTTTGATAATTTCCTTGGCTCTAATGACCTACTTTTATTGTAGTTCAGCTCTGCTGGCAGTCAGATCATCAGTCGAGCCCAGCGGTCTCCAAACCTTTTTTTTCAATCACATGCCCCTATCAGTAAAATATTTTTGAGCAAACACTATAAATACATGTCTACTTATTTATGAATTTATACACATGTGCTATTGTACTCATAGGAGTTGGCTAGTGCCCCAGTTCCATTTAATGACTCAATGTCAATTAGCTTTTAGAAGTAAGTAGAAGTACATAAAGTAAGCTCTTATTACCAAGCTTCCTTACAGAGCTCAGAAACTGGGAAGCCCAGTTTTGCAGTAGAATATGTAGAATCCCAAGTAAAAGGGAAAGTCAAATAATTTATTTTATAAAATTATTTCTAATCACAAATCTTACCCAGCAATCCCCCAAACACACATCCACAGCTCACTTTCATGGCTCAGCTTCATCTTGTGGCAGAACTGCTGTAAGCCCAAGAATAGGAGGGTGTCTTCAGCTCACTACCATGTTTCCATTGAGCAAGTATGTTACAGGCAACGTCATCCGAAAGACTCTCCAAAGTAATTTACTGGATTAGGCTTAGAAGGAGAGGTGGCCAGAGGAATCATTGCTTGGTAGAAGACTTGGCCTATTTGCCAGAATAGCTAAACTAAGTTAGGGAATTCTGACATGCTTTTTTCTGGTTTGTTGATGGCATGGGCATTTGGAATGGTCTCCTATAGCCCAAATGAGTTCAAGATAGCCAGATAGGGTTCCTCAGCTCTTCTGACTGATCAGACAGGAAGAGAAGAGTAGGTGGGGCCTACTCTTGAGTAGGGTGAATGGTCTACTGGATACACAAGTGTGGGGAAACTGATATACTTTGATAGTACTGTCATTACTAGCACTCAGTAATAGCTCCTGATTCCGAAGGCTGAAGGCCACAGAATTGACCACATCCTTATGCTAGAACTTGGCCAGGTAGATATTGTGTTAATCCTCGCTAAAGCCATATTAGTCTCCTGCATGACTGCCAACAAAATCCTTGCTGACAGTGAAGAAAATGAAGAAGCATTCATCACTGGAGGTGTAGAAATGATGGGACAATAGGAGCTTTCCTTCAATCCACCGTTTCTTTGCAGGAATCTTTTTAAGCCGCTTGTCCACTCTATAAGGGGTAATTTAGTTAAAACAAGATAATAAAATATACAAATCTATTTTACCAGAAACATGTAAACTATAATATGTTGAAATACGCTGAAAGCAAATGAAGAAGTCGAGATACCACTGTCAACCCTTCCATGTTATGGAATCACCACTTCACACATCATACATGACATGTCACCACCTACTATATAGACCAAGTGGGAGTAACAGTGTCAACTAGGATATTAAATATTAGCAAAGCTTCATTTATTTAGATCAAAAAAATTATAATATTGTCTTCCCACCTAGGTGGCTAGGTGGCTCAGTGGACCCAGAGCATCAGGCCTGGAATCAAGAAGTCTTGAATTCAAATCTTGCCTCAGACACTTAGCTGTGTGACCCTGGGCAAGTCACATAACATCTGTTTGCTTTAGTTTTCTCCTATGTAAAATAGGGACACTAACAGCTTGTACCTCTCAGAATTGCTGTGAGGATCAAATGACATAATAATTGTAATGTACTTAGCATAGTGCCTGGCACATAGTAAATGCTATCTAAATATTATTATTAGTAGTACCATCCCAGAGTGCAATGGACTGTCTTTCATTGGTTTAGTCCCTCCAAAGCTCTATTCCTGGTCAGCTCCATGGCTTGGGAATTCTCTCCATATTTACTACATGGAATAGCTTCTCTTTGCCACCTCATCAATGAAAGCACATCCCCTAATCACCAGCAAGCACACTATCCCAAAAGAATTTGAAGTTTCATGACATCAGGGTAAAACATCAGGAACCTGGAGATTCAAGAAAAATGTGCCTCCTAATGGGTTAGGTGTGTGTTTATTGAACAACACAGTAGTGTTACACAGCACACTTGCCCACATCTGACCCTTGTTACATTTAAAAAATCTGTTAACTAGAAGTTCTGTGCTTTGTTACTACAATGAAAATGGATGTTGCAGGACCAGGTCCTAAGGTCATTCCTTGGTCCTTGTAATACTGGGTCACCTGCAAAATCTGGCATGGACTTTGCTCCCAAGCTCCTTGGACTCTGGACCCTGGGACAATGTTCTTTCCTGATCTTTCAAAACTCACATAAGCCTTAGAAGGAGAAGGCCCTTACAGCATTGCCTCTCAGCCACTGTCAGTGAAGGAGTCAAATCAAGAGCAGAGATTCATCAAGAAGGAACCGCCAAAGGGAATGGCTAAGGCCCTGGTAAGTAAGCGATTCTTGAAGGCATTCTCAGTTCTGGCTATGCAGATAATAGAAAAAGCTTTTCCTAACCATATGGTTAGCTGACCAGAACCAGTCATAGAGTGTCTACATAAGCTCCCAGGTCTCTCCAAGGCACTTCCAAAATGATCAAATTGATTCTTTTTTTTAAAAAAAAATTTATCCTATTTACAATTAATTGATTTTGTCCTGTAACAACAACTTTCTGACTCCAGGCCAAGCACTCTATTCACTAAACTACCTAGCTGCCCATATAATGTGTATGGTGCATCATATATATAGTATATTATATAGCATATATGGCATACTATATTATTATATTAGTACTAGCTATTATTTTTATTGTTGTTGTTGTTACAGTTTCCTCCATTGTAAAATGAGGAGGCTGGCCTCAATGACCTCTAAAATCCCACCCTTCTACTGTAAATCCATGATCTTATGAGTTTCATAACATCCCCTTTGAGGTAGTAGGCGATTTACAGATAGGCTAACTGAAATTCTAAGAGATTAGGAGAGTAACCTGCCTAGAGATTCATAACTAAGTGTAGCCCTAGCCAGGACTAGAACCCAGGGCTTTTAACATGTAATCCTGTGGTCTTCTGACTATATCCTCTTTCTTCTAGAAACAAAGTGCCCTACTGTATTCATCTTTAAGTCTCCCATAGTACCCAAAACGGTCCCTTGTATATAATAGCTGCTCAAAAATATTTGATAAGGGAATGCAATCCAAATTCCCTGGATCATGGATGCTAAATCTAGATAAGGAGCATATTGATAATGTTGCCTCACCTTCAGTGTGGGGAGTGAAAATTAGTCACTGAGTGGGACAGCAACAGTGAGTAGTTAATGGAAAAAGAAAATGAAAACAAGAGTCTCGAGAGAAAGAAATGATATATGTAAACCCCATGCAAATTTTATGCCATTATGCAAATACACCTGTGGCCCTCCTGATGATTCCAGACACCTGAATAGGGCCCTCTGCAATTTCCTGGTGAGGGACATTGCTTTAGCCATTGGCAATTAAAATCCCTTCTGACGTTAATTTTTAAAGAGTACAGCAGGTATCTCAATAACCAAAATGCTCTCTGATGCAACATTTAATTATTCGCATTTATAAAACCTTCCAATTTATTTCCATCTAACATCCTTTAAAATAAATCAAACATCAGGGCCCAGCAGGTGCATCCAGCCATAATGGGTAACTGGATGCTTCTGGCAGTGAGGCAGTGATGAAACACTAACAAGGACAATGTTAGCATTTAAATGATAATAATTAGGCTTGGTTAACAGGTCACTGAGACAGAGTTCACCCTTCTCCTAGAGCCATTGTTTTGCCTTTGATGCACCACAAAAAAAAAAAAAAAGGACAATCACCTGGAGGTTATCTTCCAGTCCCAAAATGACTATTTAATATTCGAGTTAAACATACTGAAGGCACATTGGCACAATTTTAAAGAGTTTGATTTTTCCTACCAACTTCAGCACTCCATCATAAGAAATATTACTGTCATGGTTAACATTTGCTCCTACCATTAATAATAATAGCAACAACTACTGTATATAGAAGGGAGCCTGATGAGTTTTTAAGGGGGTCTCTTGGAGGAGAGCCTTGGCTTGAAACTTTGATAGCGTCTCCCTGTGGAGGCTGTGGACAGGGCTACAATGTTAAGATCTATTTCAATCATTATTATAATAACAAATCTCATGAGTGCTTTGATATTACAGATGGGACTTACATACATTGTCCCACTTTATCATGTTAAGGAGTCCCCTGAACTTGTCATTTTGAGTTGCCATTATTTTCTAGAAACACTGGATCCACCATATGCAGGAAGCCCTGAATATGTCAAGGATGAAGCACCCC